TATTTTCTATTGATGATTGACTAATTTATTTATTTATTTGAAAATAGTGAGTAAAATTTTAGATTGATTTTAAATAAGAAGAAAAAGAAATATTCTAAATAGGGCGTAAAGTTTCTATGTTAAATGGCACTCTAAAATAAATACTAAATTATTTTATTCGTATTATAGAGAGTATAATATTTGAATGAATGATATTTTATTAGAATATTTTAAAATATCTTCAACTTTAAAATAAGGGATTGGTAATTTTTAATTTAATTTAAGCATTTTAAAATATTAAAATAAAATTACTTAAATAGGAAGAAGTAAATAAAGATCAATCTAGCTATCATCTTTTCTTAATATTATATCTGGTTTTATTAAAAATAAATAATAGACAGTAATTTTTAAATAAAATTTCATGATCTTAGCAAAATAAATGGATGAAATAATAAATTAAAATTAATAAAATAGAATGTAATAATTAGTTTTATTGAATTCTAATTCAAAAATACAAATTAAAACTTAAAATAAATAGTGGGTAATCAATCTTTTTACTAAATAATATCAAATGATGTTTATTTTCGCTTTTTTTTTATAAAAGCAAGTAATAAACAAAAAATTATTTCTGGTTCTAACTTTGCAAACCACAATTTAAATTTTAAATTTAAACAGAGCGTAACTTTCATTATAAAATTTATTCTAAAAATCTCAATATTTTTATTAACCAAAACAGCTAGTAAAATTCCTTGCTTTATTTAATTAGAATATCAAACATACAAACATATTTCATATTTTTAATAGCCTGTAAACATTCATATTTGTTTCTTAAAAGATTAAAAACATTTTAATTTATTATATCAATAAGCGGGTAATTTTATCATCTTATAGTAGACCTTCTTCGAATTTTTTACATCATTAATAGCAAGTTATTTTTCTAAAATTTTTATAATTATCAGATTTTTAATCAACTTTAAATTTAAAATAGACAGTAATTAATATTTTAGAATGATTTTGATGAGAAAATAAAAGCTGAATTAACTATCATATTCCAAATAGGATGTAATTTCTGATGTGAAAATAAATGCTGAATTAAATTTCATATTCAAATTAGCGAGTAATTAATATTTTAGAATGATTTTTGATGAGAAATAAAATTATGAATTAACTTTCATATTCAAAATAGCATGTACTTAATATTTCAGAATGATTTTTAATGAAAAAATAAAAACTGAATTAACTTTCATATTCAAAATAGTCGGTAATTAATATTTAGAATGATTTTTAATGAGATAATAAATGCTGAATTAATTTACATATTTAAAATAGCAAGTAATTAATTAATATTTTAGAATGATCTTTGAAGTGAAAAATAAATGCTGAATTAACTTTTATATTCAAAATAGATAGTAATTAATATTTTTTGAATGATTTTTGATGAGAAAATAAATGCTGAATTAATTAACTTTCATATTCAAAATAGGACGTAACTTATATTTTAGAATGATTTTTGATGAGAAAATAAATGTTGAATTAACTAACTTTCATATTAAATAGAACGTAATTAATATTTTTTGAATGATTTTTGATGAGAAAATAAATAATAAATTAACTAACTTTCATATTCAAAAAAGGACGTAATTAATATTTTAGAATAATGTTTGATGGGAAAATAAATGCTGAATAACTTTCATATGAAAAAATAGGACGTAATTAATATCTTTTGAATGATTTTTGATGAGAAAATAAATGCTGAATTAATTAATTTTCATATTCAAAATAGGATGTAATTAATATTTTAGAATGAATGATTTTTTATGAGAAAATAAATGCTGAATTAACTTTTATTCTCAAAATAGCAAGTAATTAATATTTTAAAGTGATTTTTGATGAGAAAATAAATATACTGAATTAACATTTTTCATATTCAAAATAGCTAGTAATTATATTTTAGAATGATTTTTGATGAGAAAATAAATGCTGAATTAACTAACTTTCATGTTCAAAATAGATAGTAATTAATATTTTATAATGCTTTTTGATGAGAAAATAAACGCTAAATTAATTTACTTTCATATTCAAAATAGTGGGTAATTAACATTTTTTGAATCATTTTTTATTAGAAAATAAATTCTGAATTAACTTTTATACTCAAAATAAATAGCAAGTAATTAATATTTTAGAGTGATTTTTGATGAGAAATAAATGCTGAATTAACATTCATATTCAAAATAGCAAGTAATTAATATTTTTTTAAAATGATTTTTGATGAAAAAATAAATGCTAAATTAACTCTCATATTCAAAATAGGATGTAATTAATATTTTAGAATTATTTTTGAAGAGAAATTAAATAATGCTGAATTAACTAACTTTCTTTCTTTCACATACAAAATAGTCGGTAATTAATATTTTAGAATGATCTTTAATGAGAAAATAAATACTGAATTTACTTTCATATTTAAAATAGCGAGTAATTAATATTTTAGAAAGATTTTGGAAAGAAAATAAATACTGAATTATCTTTCATATTCAAAATAGATAGTAATTAATATTTTAGAATGATTTTTGATGAGAAAATAAATTATAACATTCATATTCGAAATAGCACGTAATTAATATTTCAGAACGATTTTTGAATAAATGCTGAATTAACTTTCAATTTCGAAATAGCACGTAATTTATATTTTAGAATGATTTTTCTTAGAAAATATATGCTGAATTAACTAACTAACTTTCATATTCAAAATAGTCGGTAATTAATATTTTAGAATGATTTTTGATAAGAAAATAAATTCTGAATTAACTTTCTTATTCAAAATAGGGCGTAATTAATATTTTAGAATTATTTTTGATGAGAAAATAAATGCTGAATTAACTTTCATGTTAAAATTAGATAGTAATTAAATTTTTCTATTGTTTTTTGATATGAAAAAAAAATCTAAATATAAAATAGTGAGTAAAATTTAATCAGATTTGATTCCAAGAAATTAGAGAATAAAATAAACTTTTGAAAAACAGATGGTAATTATTTGTAGAAAACAAATAAAACAGATTGAAAATAAGTTTAATTTTGAATATACAGCGAGTAATATTTAGAACAATAATTTTGATAGAGAATCTTATTAAAATGTATGTATGAAATAGATAGTAATATTTTTGAAAGATACTAATGTAGAAGTAAGAGTTAATTATTATATGAAAAAAGTGAGTAAGAATTATCAAAATAAATTGAAAAATGTAACTAACTAATTAAAAAACTATGTTAATCCTAAACTAGATTGTAAAATATTTGAGTTATTTAAAAAGAATATTAAAAAAATTAAAAATAATAAATAATAGATTGTAATATTTTAAATAATTAACTTTGGATGAAATACAATTCAAGAAATGAAAATATAAATTTAATTAAAATAGCTGGTAATAATTAATCCTATTCAGAAAGCAACATATTTTAAAATCTACTACTTACTTATTTATAAAGAAAGTAAAATTATTTATAAAAAAGTAAATTTTCTTACTAAACCTTTGAATAAAATAAAAAGGGTAAAAATAACACATTAAAAGATTTATCAAAAAAGAGCAAGATTAATGAATATTTATAAAAATATTACAAGGTAATTTATTTTTACAATTTTCATTTAATTGAAAAAATTAATTTCATTAATATAAATCATTTTTTGCTATTAAAAAGTGATGAACCACATACATAATATTTACTAGATTCAGGCAACACAACACAGTTTACGAAATCAGAAATGCACTTTTTTGTTTACTTGTTGATTATAAATAAAATAATCGATTGAATTACTATTAATAAATATTAAAAATAATATGAATTTGTGAAATATATTTTTTTTTTCTATATTGATTGTGGCTTAAACTTTTAATTTAATTTTTTTTTTTTAACATGAAAAAAAAACAATCAATTATTAAGATTTTATTTAATAATATTTTTTATTAAATAGATAGATAACATAACTTAGTAAACAATTATATTTAGCAATTTTTTTAAAGTGTTGATTTATTTATATATTTTCCTTTTTTTATGGTTTAAAAAATCCAGATACTCCTAATTTTGCAAATTAAAAATTTCCATTCAAAGTATATTTGGGGTCCAATTTCAATTTATAAGCTAAATATAGCTGCTCCTAGTTTTAAAATTCCGCTGATAGGATATATATATGTATGTATGTAATCAGCGGAATTTATAAAAAATATATATATAAATCACTAAATAGAAATATACATATTTTTTCTTTTAATTTTTAAACCAAAATTTATCTAGCAGATAGAGATACCTTTGCTTTAAAACCAAAATTAAGAAATAAATTAATTTTTTCTAAACATTTTAAATATTTTATAAAGTAACATTTTTATTTAATCTTTACTTATGTTTTAAATAATATTAATTTCCATTATTAATTCATCTGATTTATATCTATGAGATAGAAGCTTCACATTTTTATAATTTAATAAAACATAGTATGGCACTAGCAATTAATAAAAGCTTTGGTCGTATTTGGTTTAGAGGAATTACTTTATTTAAGTAAATTTTTTTCTTAAATTTTGTTTTGTTTTATAAACTATTTATTTACTTACCAAATTATTATACATATAAATATAAAAATAATAATAAATCATCTATCTATCTATATTTTAGGTTAAATTATTTGATAACAAAATATTAAAATATAAAGCATTTTATATTAAAGTATTCAATTATATTTATATTTATTCGTCTTATTTCACTATTATTTTATCACCAATATTGTATTTCTAAGGCAACTAATCTTTTTGATTTAAGGCATTTTAATTTCAATTATTAATATCTTTTGTTTTAGTTGTTACTTTTAATATAAATTATTGTAAATTAAAAAAAATAAATACAATAAAATTTTTAAGTAAAATATTATATGTTAACTCAATAAGTAATAAAAATTTTAGTAAAATAAGAAACAAAAGAAAAATTAATCAAATAAAAAGCTTTTAATTAAAAGAGTTAGTTATATTGTTTTTAATTAATTTTTATATTTAAAAATACCACAATCCAAAACAAATAAACTGTATTTACTCTAGATTAAGTTTCAAATTATAGAGATTAGTGCACTTTCCTAAACCAGAACCTAAGCCTGATGCACCAATTGCGCCAATTTAATTCCACCTTTTGAAATATTGAAGAAAATAAATATAGTTCATTTGTTTTTTAGAAGGAAAAAATGATGAAAAAATATGAAATAATAAGAAATAAATTAATTAATTTATAATAAAAACAAAAGTTGAAAATGAATAAATGAGTTAAATTAGTAATCAAACAAACAATGAAATAAATTTAAAAAATACAACCAGAAAATAAAAAAGAAAAATAAATCAAATGAAAAGCTCATATATAAATAAATTAAAAGAGTTAGTTATATTGTTATAATTCATGTTTATATTTAAAAATATCACAATCCAAAACAAATAAACTGATTTTACTTAAGATAAAGTGTCAAATTTGAGAGATTAGTGCTCTTTCCTAAAAAAGAGTCTAAGCTTGATGCACCTTCATCGCCAATTTAATTTTTCCTTTTTTAAATATTGAAGAAAAAATATATGTTAATTTGTAAGAAAAAATGAAGAAAAAATATGAAATAATAAGAAATGAATTAATAACAAAAGCAAAAATTGAAAATGAAAAAACAAGTTAAAATAACAATTGAACAAAGAAATAAATAAATGAAAAAACACAACTGAATAGAAAAATAATTCAAATGAAAACCTCATAATAAATAAATTTTAGTTAGCTAAATTGTTTTAAATTCATTTTTATATTCAAAAAATATCATAATCAAAAACAAATAAACTGATTTTACGATAGATTTAGAGTCAAATTTGAGAGATTAGTGCAATTTCCTAAACCAGAACTTAAGCTCGATGCACCTTCATCATTAATTTAATTCCAACTTTTTAAATATTATAGAAAAAATATATAGTTAGTTAGGAGGAAAAAATGAAGAAAAAATACGAAATAATAAGAAATTAAAAAATATAAGCATAAAAAAAAGTAAAGAAAAAGAAATCAAATGAAAAGCTAATAAATAAATAAAAAGAGTTAGTTAAAACAAATAAACTATTATACTTTTTTTAATCATGGAGACAAGGAGAGTTGTAAAATTTTTTTCATATTTTTCTTCATTTACAGGGTCGATATGCTAATTATGAAAAACAAAAAATAAATTGGATAACTCTCCTCGTTTCAAACATAAAAAAAAGTCCTATATTTTTACCCTAGATCGAGTGTCAAATTTGAGAGATTAGTGCATTTTCCTAAACCAAAACCTAAGCCTAATGCACCAATTGCACCAATTTCATTTAGCCTTTTAAATATTGAAAAAAAATAAAGAGTTAATTTGTTAGTTAGAAGGAAAAAATAAAGAAAAAATATGCAATATTAAGAAGTTAATTAATAATGAAAGCAAAAGTTGAAAATGAAAAAATGAATTAAATTAAAAATCAAAAATAATTAAATGAAAAAACACAAGCAGAATAAAAAAAGAAAAAGAAATCAAATGAAAAGCAAATAAATAAATTAAAAGAGTTAGTTAGTTATATTGTTTTAAATTCATTTTTATATTCAAAAATATCATAATCCAAAACAAATAAACTATTTTTACCCTAGATTGAGTGTCAAATTTGAGAGATTAGTGAACTTTCCTAAACCAAAACCTAAGCTTAATGTACCTTTATCACCAATTTAATTCCCCCTTTTTAAATATTGAACAAAAAATATAAAGCTAATTTGTTAGTTAGAATGAAAAAATGAAGAAAAAATATGAAGTAATAAGAAATGAATTAATTAATAATAAAAGTAAAAGTTGAAAATGAAGAAACAAGTTAAATTAACAATCAAACAAAGAAATAAATAAATGAAAAAAAACAAGTAGAATAAAAAAAAAGAAAAATAAATCAAATGAAATAAAAACCTAATAAATAAATTAAAAGAGTTAGCTAGTTATATTGTTTTAAATTCATTTTTATATTCAAAAATATCACAACCTAAAACAAATAAACTTATTTTACTCAAGATAAAGTATCAAATTTGAGAGATTAGAGCACTTTCCTAAACCAGAACCTAAACTTGATGCACCTTCATCACCAATTAACTATCTCCTTTTTAAATATTCAAGAAAAAATATATTGTTAATTTGTTACTAAGAAGGAGAAAATGAAGATTAAAAATAAAATAAAAAAATTAAATTAAATTAAATTAAAATAATTAAAATAAATTGTATAAATAAAATTGAATGAATTTAGTTGATAATTTAAATTTGAAAAATAATACAATCAATATATTAAAATTAGTAAATAAAGCGTTAATAATAATAATATTAATAAACCAGACATACTAATTATTTAGATCTATATAGAGAACCTAAAACGATTAAAGTGAAGTGTCTAAAAACTTTTGTTATTAATAGAAATAAATTGCATTAACATTAATAAAAAGTAAATATTTACTTCTTCTAAATTGTTAAAATATTTTTTCTATCCTATCATTTATTTTTTTTTCTTATCAAAAATATTTAATTACAATTTATAGAAATTAATTAACTTTATATCAAATTAATTTGGACAAAAAACAAATAAATATTTATAAATTTTCTTTTAGATGTAGAAATCCCAAAAAATTTAAATTTAATGTAACATTAACTATTTAATCTTAATATTTCTATAAAAAATTGTACTTATAAAGATAGCAATAATCAAAGATTTCCATTTCATATGTTGATAAAATTCTATTAATTAATTTCATTTAATTTTGATAAAATAATTTTAATCTTTATATTTTTATGTTTGTTTTAGTTGAGGTAAATTTTAATATATAATAAAATAGATTTTTAAAATTATAATATTTATAATATGCCTAATTATTCTTAAATCCTATTAGTTATTTTTAAAAAACATGTTATTTAGGTATATATCATAAATACTCTTATTAAAGCTGACCAAAAATTCTATTATCAATAAATTTAGTCTGCTTATTTTTATATAGTATATTAATTTTATTTTTTTGCTTATCGATGAATTAAATTCTAGCATCACAGTGTCTGAAAGAAATTAATTCTTGGAAATGCTATATATATATAAATATATATTTGGATATTCATACCTTAAAAATTCCTTAGTATTATATTTATAATGTATTATTTTATTCTGTAAAATAGACAATCTATAAATTCGTATTTCAAAATTTTATTTCCTTTAAGAAAAAGGATTTAATTTGCTTATTTAAAATATTTTTATTTATGAGAACAATGAGTAAGTAGATTACTTTTATGTTGAAGGAGTAATAAATTAGTAATTATAAAATTTAATCTCTATCTTTGATCGTTTCAAAGCTTAAAAAGCTTCTTAAAGTTTAATTATCCTTTAAAGATAAATCATTATTTGTTGATGAATGTAAGTTTTACTTAACTCTATGAGTGAAAATAAATTAATAAATAAGCATATATAACTTGTGCCTAAAAGGGTTAGGTTCAGAAGACTGTTTGGCTGGCTGGTTATTTAGTACTGTGTGGTTAAAAACAAATCCTGAATAAATTCAAATTAATCGATAGTTTAATTCAATATGACACTATTGAAAGCTCTTTCAATAGCGATGTTTAAATAGCAGTAGAAAATACTAGTTAACTTATTATCTAAAATGGAATTGTTTTGCTAGCTTCTTCCTTGGTTTCACTTAATAGAATAGAAAAAAATAAAGATATATAAGCAAAGTAATAATTGGCTAAGTTATTGATGTACTTAACTATTTATCAAAATTAGATTTATTTTAAGTTTAAAAGAGTTAAATTGAATAATCAAGCTAAATAATAGAATATGAATAATTAAAATTTAAACATTTTAAATATTTAGAAATTCAATCAAATAACCAATTTAACATTGTTAAAAATTAATAATTTTAATTTTCTAAACTCTAAAAAATCCAAATTGAAAATCAATTTGTAAAAACAACAATGATTATCTATAATATTCTAGAATTAATTTTTTTAGACTCTGAAAAATAAAATTTGACATATTATAACGTGGATTTTTTTTTAAATTCACTCTTATGCGCCTAATTAATTAATTTCCTTGATAGCGAATATTATTTTTAATAAATTAAAATTTTACTTTATTTTATAAAAAAAATATATTTATACTATTATCAAATAAATCTTTTGCCATTATTTTTTGAATATAAATAGACAAGATATTATTTATTATAAATAGGAATTTAGAATAGAAAATATATACATTACTATAAATTATAATCACTTTAATTAATTTAATAAATTACTTTATGTTTCTAGCTTATATTCTAAAAGTGGGAAATCATATTCACTTTATAGTTAAATTTAAAATATATTATTAGGATTTTTTTAAGATTAGAGTGTTATTATTCTTTTTTAAATATCCATTTTTAAAAATATTACAGCTTCATTTTTATTTCCAGTAATAAATTAATTTGATTCATTTGTAAAGAGAGTTATTTAATTATTATTAATCAGCAATTTTCCCTTTATTTATTATTTAATTATTCTTTCATTTAATTATTAATAATTATAATATTAAATGATTAATTATTATCTTGTGATAATTTAGAATTTTCTTTAATAAATACATTCTAAAATTTATTACTGTGTTAAGAATTTAGGAAATGATTACAATTTTTAAAATAAATGATTGGAGGAAGAGCATTTATCAACTTTTTAAAAACATTCAAAATAAACTGAATAAATTCTTATCTATGATTTAACTTTATATTTAATTTGAATTAGTTTTTAATAACAAGCGAGCATATTTCTGAGTCATTTGTATCAAGAATTATTTCATTTATTTCTGCTATTAAGAATCTTTTTACATCTGAAGAGCTATTTAAATTTGGCAAAACATAAAAATAGTTTTGAGTCAAGCAAATAATTCTTTATTATGATTCACCAGAATTAGATAATTTTACAGCTTATTCACTAAAATATGCATTATAACTATATTTTTAATCCTTTTATTCTTTTTAAAGTAAATTTAAAATGAATTAGTTGTCTTTTACTCTATAGAAATCAAAATCCAGCTCTAAGAAGTTTAAATCATTATAGAATTCTTAACCTAATTTTAAAAGAAAAGCTATCAATAAATAATTTATATAATTTACTGAATTAAATATTCATAAATTATCATAATTATTTACCATAATTTGGTTTTTCAAGAGTTTTTGACTTTTTGAGAATTGATTTTTTTGGTATTGTTTCAATTTACAATTTCTGCATTTTACACTCAAACCCTTTATAGCATCAAAATTTATTTAGTTTTGTAAATAAAATAAATAAGAAATAAGTTACCTGGATCACTTTACACTTTTTTTATTTAAATTTATATATTTTCTTTTGATTTTGTATTACTTTCTTTCTGTTCGTCTAGAATTTTTAAAAAATGAAATTTATTAGAAATTAGATTTATTCATTAATGTTAAAATAAATTTTCTTCTTTTTTAATATTGATTTAAAAATAATTTTAAAGTTTAAAATTAATTACAATATTTTCCAAGGTCTTAATAAAATGAAACACTTTTTTTTGTTTAAATATACTAGTGCTTATTCTAAAGAATTAAATTTTTTTATTGCAAAGAATGGCTTTAAGTGTTTTAGCTTGAGCAATCAGTTTATATTTCATCTGTTTCTGTCAAATAATTTTCATTTAAATTGGTAATATCTTCTAAAAAATACAATAAAAAAATAATTATTAATTGAAAAAATATTTTAATTTATAAAATATGAATACCTTCAAAAGCGGGATCACATTTTGTTTCTGTTTTTGTATTATTGAGTTCATCTTAACTTCTTAATTCTTAAGCAGTGATATTTGAGAAACTTATTGTATTGACTAATTTATTAATTTTTTAAGATAAATCTTTGATTTTTTCATTTAGATCTTTCTCAGAAATCTTGTTTTAACTAAAAAGAGATATTTTTTTAAAGAAAAAGAATAATTTGAATTTACTTATTATTTATTTTGATTTGTTAGATTTACAATTCAATTTAATCAACCAATTGAGATAACATTTTAAAATTTTCTAATATATTTTGTATTATTAAATTATTTTCGCCTGTTTACATAATCATATTTCAGTTTTAGCTGTTTTTAATATTTCTTAATTAATTAATTATTATTAAGCAAGTTTAAATAATTACAACCAATTTTTATTACAAAAAAAATTTATATACAGTAAATAATTAGTTTCACTGAACATTTTTCTATTTAAATCACTCACTCAAATTTAAAATTAAAAATTAAATAAAAGTCTTTTAAAAATAAATCAGCCTTAACTTTTTCTGAAAATATGCAGTAATTTAGTTATTTAAAAATTAATTATTTTTTTATTTTTTACAATTCTTAATGCTTACATAAATAAATGTAAACATAATTTATGATACAGCTTTTATCAATAAAAAAGTGTAAATTTATTTGGTTAATTTTCCTAAAGTTTTATATCTGAATTTATTAAATAGCTTATTTTCTAATAAATTTTGGTATAATTTAAAATTACTTAATAATCGTTTATTTTAATTTATTTTAAATGAAGATCAATTGTTTCATGTATTTTAAATTTATAATTTTCATTTTGTTATTTTGTTGTATTTTAAAACTAATTAATAGTAAAAAGCAAAAAAAATCAATTATATGTTATTATTCTTATTTCATAATTTTAATAATATTTATTTATTAATTAATATTTATGCCAAATTAATACGTTTTACAGGAATTAGAAGTATTTAATTTAAATGTTTTTTATATTAATTAGTTCTCAATTAATGCTGATTTGTTTGATATTAAAATGAATAAAATTTATATTTATTTAAAATAAATACATTTAATATTAGTATAATATTTTAAAATAATCAAAATATTATTATTAAATTTTTAATTTTACTAATAAATTCTTTTGCTAATTACAATAAAAATTAATACTTATTAAAAATATATGTAAATCTAAGATTTCATATTCACAAAATAACTAGTTCATATTTAAAAATCTAGATGACGAAATATAAGAAATTAACTGTTTATCTTTTAAATTTTGATAAGCTAGCTACTGATTTATTCCTAATTAAATTAATATTATAAAATAATTATAAACTTAGTCAGTATAGAAATTCTACAGACTATGAAATTATTGAAATGAAAAAATTAAATCTCTTGAATATTCTTTTTTAATGACAGCATTTTTATTTATTTATTAATTTTGAATCTTTCCTTTTATCATCTGAAAATCTTTGTTTATTTATTATTTTATTGATACTATCTTTTTCTATATCAAGAATTTACTAATTAAAAGAGTTTTTTATTTAAATAAGTCCTGTTGAAGAAAAATAATTTTTTTAATTTAATCAGATCTAATTAATTTTTCTAATTTTTTATAAAGAAAATACCTTAATAAATTTAAATCATTATTAGAATACTGTAATATTTTTCTTTTTCAAAATAATTTATACTGAATTACAGATGAATCCATCCATGGTATCTCAGATCTTATATTAGTAATTAAGAATTTTTTAAATTTTTGAAAACTTGGAATTACAGTAAATTTCAATAAATTGCACACTATTTTGAGATATTGAATATAATTTAATTTTAAAAAGATTATAAATATACTTGACGTAAATAATAAAACAAAGTAAATTAATTAAAAAGTGATTATAATTCTTTTAATTTCAGGTAAAAAATTATAATTCTAATTTATGAGGAAAATTCATGTAGATTTTCCTAATGGTTAACTTTTCATAATTTGATAATTTAATCATTATAATTTAAATTGAATAGGCTAAAATCAATAATATAAGTTACGCTAATAAATTTGCTAAATAATAGTTAAATAAAGTATCTCAAACTAGTTTTTTATTATATATTTAAATTAGTAAAAAGGTAAAATATAAATCAATTTGAGAGATATAAAATTATTTTTTAAACTATAAAAATTGAACTTAAATCTGTAAGTCACGCAACAAAATAAAGGTCACCAATAAATTTATAATAATTTTATACTTTTTAGAAAATTCTTTTGATGATTAATTTATTTAGCTGGTTTTGTTTTTAAATCTTGGCATTACAATTTTTTTGTAGTTTTTTTGATTTAATTACATCTTTTTGTTTATCAGTAAAAAATATGATTATCATAAAAATAATATACGTAATTTATTTAAAAATCTATTTGATTGTAGTGATAAATGAAGTATATAATTGTCTGTTTCCATTTAAGAGTTTAAATAAAATTTATTTATTTATAAAAATATAAAACACTTTCAATAAAAAAGTAAAATAGTATTTTTAAAAGAAACTATTTCTCTCAATAAATAATAACTTTACTTCTAATTTAAAATTAAATATCAAAAAAATGTACTTTTAATTACATATTTTTAAAAGACTAACCTTATAGTTTATTTCAATTATCATTTTTTATCAGAAATTTTAAGAAATTAAGCTGATTCAAAATTGAAATTTAATTTAATTTACAATTATTACTTTTTACCCTTACAATATTACTCTTATTTGAATAACCTAATACCACTCTCTACAAACAAGAAATTTTTTCACTTAAAATATTTATTCATATTATGGAGGATGGGTATTAATAAAATCTTTTAATAATTAATAAATTATTTATTTATTACACAAAAATTTAAGTAATAAAGAGATCAGAATATATTTTTTTTACCTAAGTTTAAACATATGTTTGTTATAAAACTTATTGAAAATTATAATTCTTATAAAAAGTTAAGAAAAATTTAACATTAACAATTAAATAATTTTAAGTTTTAGAATATCTGAGAACATAAAATATTCAGAATAGCATATTAATAAAATCATTAAATAATATAAAGATTGTGGAATATATTGATTGTAATTTCTAAGTCAAATGTAACAGAAGAATTAAAAGAATAAGGATTTCAACTATATAAATAAGCTTTAGAAATATTTACCTAAATCTTACAAAAGTAATGAAAAAAGTTAATATTATCTAAAATAAATAGGTAAAAGAATATATATAAAATGACATAACTATTTATTGTATTTTTAATTTATTATTAACATATTTAAATAATATTTAATTTATTAAATATCTTTATAAATTACTATTAAAATATTAATTATTTCAAATAAATAATTTATTTTTTGAAGTTTATTAAAAAATTATTATTATTATTATTATTATTATTAATAGCTGAAACACATATGAACAGCTAGCTATGCAAGTACAGTTTAATTTATTATATAAATATTAAAAATTAATTAATAATTATTATAAAATACAATTTAAATATTTACTTATAAAATTAAAATTTCTATTAACAGATGAAGTATAAAATCAAATATCTTTTAATAATTATTTTTCAATATTTAATTTTATAAATCAGATTCTTCTGAATAATCTGAATTATTACTGCTTGAATTACTTAATAGTTATGATCATTCAAAACTTCAACTTTCATCTAAATATCTGAATATTTCTGAGCTGCTTCATATTTTTATTCTAAGTTATCAAAAAAAATGTTGATTTCTTCAATTATAGCTATTCTCTATATTTTTTTAAGGTTTATATAATATAATTTTGTATTATAAAATGTAAATTATTTTAAGTTTATAAATAATTATTTATTTATTTTATAATTTTTTTATTTAAATTTTAAAAATGTTTGTTTTATTTATTTTAAAAGTTTAATTTATTATGTATGTTTGATTAAGAAAGCAAAGAGCTTTTTACCATTTTATTGTAACACTTATTCTCTAATTAAAAATAAAAATTTATTACATTTTCAAACAATATTTATTTTTGTTAAATATATAAAAAATGTAATCTCTTTTTTAAAAAAAGACATCTTTAATTAATTAATTTTATTATATATATATTTTTAAATATATAACTCTTATTTTTAAATATAAATAAAAAAAATATAGAAAAATCAATAATTTTAGTTATATTTTAAGAAAATTTCAATAAAATTCAAAAATTAATAAAATAATTATTAAAATGTAAATAATTTAAATAAAATATCATAAGATTAATGTATAAACAAATAAATAGGTTTTTAAGAAAAGAAAAATATATCAAAATATGTAATAAATAACCTAATTAATACGCTTTGCAAATATTTTAAATAATTCTTAAAGTATTTATTTTATACATATTTATAAGTAAAATAATAAAGCAAAATCCTTTTTCCAGTTATATATAGAGGTAAGTTATTTTATAGAAATTTAAATGAAAATTGTTTCTATAAACATATTTTATTAATTCCAAAGTTAAAGCTAAAATAAAATTTTTAATATGTAATACATAATTTTCATAAAATCTAAATTCAATATTGCATAAGCTGTTAAAAATGAAATAATGAATAGTAAACCTATTTAAAATATATTTATATAAATAATTTTATTATTGAAAAATAGTGAATTTATTGTAGTAAATAAATCTCCGTAGTATAGAAAAAAATTAATTTTTTTAGATTTTATTCTTAATTTGGTTAATTGTAAAAATCTTCTGAAAGTAAATCACTTATTTTTCTATAAAATTTTAAATAAAGTGTTTAAAGGTTTATTGGAACATAAAATTAATTAATAAATGCCATTTTAATTTTTAATTATCCTAAATGATAAAAATTATTTAAAATAGTTTATTTTTTAGAAATAGATATCTCGAAGTATTAATTGTTACTATCAAAATGTAATAATTGCTTTATTGTATCTATATATAAAACAAGTAGAGATTTCAAAAATCATTAATTTTTATACAATATTTATTTAACAAGTGCTATTTGATTGATTAAAACCATGAATTTAATTTAATAAACTCGAATTTTAATCAAAAATTGCATTTCTTGGTTCTAGATCATTAACTTATTATTGAAGTGTTTTTTCCATTAATTTAAGTAACTAGGAATTTATATAATAACTTAACTTCCTTATCTAAGGAAAAATAAGTATATCATAATTTAAACACCTTTTTACATAAAAAAATATTTTCATACATAAAGAAAATAGAGTCTAAAATTTAGCAGTAAAACTTAATCTCGAATATTTTTTTATCTAAAAATTAGTATGATATGTATTATTAAATAAAAAATATTACTTATTAAATTAACATCAATTATTGAAAAATGTTACAATCCATTATTTTGTTTGTTTTTTTAGGTTATAAATTGTTTATTGTTTTCAAAATATAATTTCATAACTATAATAACTAATTAATACAGACCATATAATTTTTAGTTTGAAACAGAATTTAATAGTTAATTCTAAAATGACGAAATATTGATCTAATAAATTTTATCTAATAATCTTTTAAAACTTTCTTTTGATATAAAATCTAAAAATAATATTATTTTATTATCTATCAATTCTTTCAATTATACTTATCATCTCTAATTAAACTCATATTCTTAAATATTTGAGGCTTATAATTAAATAGTTTTATTAATGTATGCAGATTAATTTTATTACTAAAATTATATTTTTCTATAAATAAAATTATAATTTAAGATAATTTATTATAAAGCTGGTTAAATTTTTCTAAATGAAGAAAAATTAGTTTTGGTTTATAAAAAATACACTATTCCAAATTGAAATTCTCCATGCTTTATATAGTTAGACATTTTTACTCAAAATATTAAAGAATAAAAAAATAAAATAAAAAAAAATAATAAAACTAAAACTTTAAGTAAAATATGAATAAATTGATCCTTTTGAGTATTATCATGCTCATGCCTCTCTGTTTGGCTCAAAATATAAGTGTAGAAAAACTTCTTGCTTATAATAAATGGTCAAGCTAACATCAAAGAGTTTATCTGAATGAAGATGAAAAACTATTTAGACAAATGGTTTTCTTTGAGAACTTGTAAAAGATTTAGGAACATAACAGTGATCCTAATAACACCTATTCTATCAATTTAAACTAATTCTCAGATATGACTAAAGAAGAATTTGCTGAAAAAATTCTTATGAAATCCGATTTTGTTGACCATTTAATGAAAGGAATCAGTTAAGAGACAACTCATAATGATGCTAATAAAGAAACTTAGTTCAATTCAAAAGGCGTTTCTTATGCTTATTCAATAGACTGGAGAACAAAAGGTGCTGTAACATCGGTTAAGGATTAAGGTAGTTGTGGTTCATGCTGGAGTTTCTCTGCAGCTGGAGTAATGGAGTCATATAACTTCATTAGAAACAAAGCTGCTTTAGTTGATTTTTCTGAGTAATAACTTGTTGATTGTGTCATCCCTGCAAATGGTTACAACTCTTATGGATGTGGTGGAGGATGGCCTGCTTCTTGTCTGGATTATGCCTCCAAAGTAGGTATTACTACCCTAGACAAGTATCCCTATGTTGCAGTTTAGAATAATTGTAATGTGACTGATACAAATAATGGCTTTAAGCCTAAAAACTGGATTTAAGTTGCTAACACGCCTGATGACTTAAAAATGGCTTTGAATTGGACTCCTGTTTCTGTAGTTGTTGATGCTTCCAATTGGGGTAGTTATTACTCTGGAATTTTCAACGGATGTGATTAATCTCATATTAGTCTTAATCATGCTGTGTTAGCTGTTGGTTATGACTTACAAGGAAACTGGATTCTTAAAAATTCTTGGAGCGCCTATTGGGGTGAGAATGGCTATATGAGACTTGCTGCTAACAACACATGCGGTATCTTAAGCTATAATTATTTAGTTACTGCTTGAAAAATCTGGATAATCTATTATAATTAAAATATAATATTCGTATAAACTATTATTTTATATAAAATTGTAATTCAAATATTAAGATTCGATTAGTTTTAAAAACAAAAATTTATTTAAATTAACATTAAATTTATAAATATTAAAAATAATAATTTATATTTCAAAATAACTTGATAAAATATAAAAAAGTAAATTAATTTTATAAAAAAAAATTCAAATAAAACTAACTACAAAATTATTTAATAGAAATTTATTCATTAAAAATAACTTCCTAGTTAATCAAAGTTTCTTTATATTAAGACTTCTTACTAAGATTCACTGGGTTTTAATTTATTTTAAGGCTTTTAAATAATAATTTTTAAGAATTTTCTCTAAGGACTTGATTAAGAGGTTTTTTTAATTTTCCAAGATCATTTTTGATTTTTTTGATTTTCTAAAGCTTATTTTAAATTAAAATTATTCAAGTTTGACTAGATACTGCATATGCTGTAATTAAGGTGCATTAATTTCTTAAAAAAATATTTTGAATGCACCTTAATTAAATTGATTAATCTTATAAATTAGATTAAGATAAATATATAATAAAAGAATAAAGAAGACTGGTAAATGATTATAAGAAATAAAATTATGATTTTTTTAATTTATATTAAAATTTTAGTAATCTATTTCTTTTAAATATTTTTTTATAATAACGTTAACAAATTATCTAATTTTTAATAATTAAATAATAATTTCAAGTAATATATTTAATAACTAAATTTAAAATATTTCTAAAATTTTAATTAAAAAAAAATATTATATTAATAACATTTAAAAATTATACTTTATTTAATTTTAAATCTAATAATGTACAAATAATAAGTGAGGAAATATTATTAAAAATTTTATTTGTTTACAAATAAATATATTTAAAATTTTTATATTTATTTAGTTAATTAATACTAAGAAAAAAATATTTTAAGAGAACTTCAATTAAATCTCTATCATATAGAAAAAAATTTATTTTTTAGCTTTTATTCTTAATTTCATTAATTGAAAAAATCTTTCGAAAGCAAATCACTTTCTTTTTCTATAAAATTTAAAATAAAGTGTTTAAACGTTTATTGGACACAATATTAATTAATAAATGCTATTCTAATTTTAAATTATCCTAAATGATAAAAATTATTTAAAATAATTTATTTATATGAAATAGATATCTCTAAATTTTAATTGTTACTATCGAAATGTAAAAATTGCTTTATCGTATCTATATATAAAACAAGTAGAGATATCAAAAATCATTAATTTTTATATAATCTTTATTTAACACGTTGCTATTTGATTGATTATAACCACGAATTTAATATAATAAACTCAAATTTTAATCAATAATTATTATGTTTATTGGTTCTAGATCATTAACTTATTGTTGAGTGTTTTTTCCATCAATTTAAGTAGCTAGGAATTTATATAATAACTTAACTTCCTTATTTAAGGAAAAATAAGTATATGATAATTTAAACACCTTTTTAGATAAAAAATATTTTCATACATAAAGAAAATATTGTCTAAAATTTAGCAGTTAAACTTAATATCGAATATTTTGTTTTCTAAAAATTAGTATGATATGTATTATTAAATATAAAATATTACTTACTAAATAAGCGTCAATTATTGCAAAATGTTACTATTTATTATTTTGTTTCAGTTTTTAGGTAATAAGTTGTTTATTCTTTTCAAAATATAATTTCATCACTATAATTATTAATTAATTCATGCTATATAATTTCTAGCCTGAAACAGAATTGAATAATTAATTCTAAAATGACGAAATATTGATCTAATAAATTTTATCTAATAATCTTTTAAAACTTTCTTTTGATATAAAATCTAAAAATAATATTATTTTATTATCTATCAATTCTTTCAATTATATTTATCATCTTTAATTAAACCCATATTCTTAAATATTTGAGGCTTATTATTAAATAGCTTTATTAATGTATGTAGATTAATTTTATTACTAAAATCATATTTTCATAAAATAAAAATACAATTTAAGATAAACAATAATAAAACTGGTTAAATTTTTCTTACTGAAGAAAGATTAGTTTTGATTTATAAATAAATTCTCTATTACAAATTGAAATTGGCTATGCTTTATATACTTAGCCATTTATACTCAAAACATTAAAGAATAAAAAAATAAAATAAAAAAAAAAAATAAAACTAAAACTAAAACTTTAAGTAAAATATGAATAAATTGATCCTTTTGAGTATTATCATGCTCATGCCTCTCTGTTTGGCTCAAAATATAAGTGTAGAAAAACTTCTTGCTTATAATTAATGGTCAAGCTAACATCAAAGAGTTTATCTGAATGAAGATGAAAAACTATTTAGACAAATGGTTTTCTTTGAGAACTTGTAAAAGATTTAGGAACATAACAGTGATCCTAATAACACCTATTCTATCGGTTTAAACAAATTCTCAGATATGACTAAAGAAGAATTTGCTGAAAAAATTCTTATGAAATCCGATTTTGTTGACAATTTAATGAAAGGAATCAATTAAGAGGCAACTCATAATGATGCTAATAAAGAAGCTTAGTTCAATTCAAAAGGCGTTTCTTATGCTTATTCAATAGACTGGAGAACAAAAGGTGCTGTAACATCGGTTAAGGATTAAGGTAGTTGTGGTTCATGCTGGAGTTTCTCTGCAGCTGGAGTAATGGAGTCATATAACTTCATTAGAAACAAAGCTGCTTTAGTTGATTTTTCTGAGTAATAACTTGTTGATTGTGTCATCCCTGCAAATGGTTACAACTCTTATGGATGTCGTGGAGGATGGCCTGTTTAGTGTCTGGATTATGCCTCCAAAGTAGGTATTACTACCCTAGACAAGTATCCCTATGTTGCATTTTAGAATAATTGTAATGTGACTGATACAAATAATGGCTTTAAGCCTAAAAAATGGAATTAAATTGCTAACACGCCTGATGACTTAAAAATGGCTTTGAATTGGACTCCTGTTTCTGTAGTTGTTGATGCTTACAATTGGGGTAGTTATTACTCTGGAATTTTCAACGGATGTGATTAATCTCATATTAGTCTTAATCATGCTGTGTTAGCTGTTGGTTATGACTTAGAAGGAAACTGGATTCTTAAAAATTCTTGGGGCACCAATTGGGGTGAGAATGGCTATATGAGACTTGCTGCTAACAACACATGCGGTATCTTAAGCTTTAATTATTTAGTTACTGCTTGAAAAATCTGGATAATCTATAAAAATTAAAATATATTATTCGTATAAACTATTATTTTATATAAAATAGTAATTCAAATATTAAGATTCTATAAGTTTTAAAAATACAAATTTATTTAAATATATATATATATAGCACGCTAGCGTGCTGCCAGTCTTAGGGGCTTGTGCCATATAATATTACAACTTTATCATTTTAATTTAAATTAAAAATAATTAAAGTTATAAATTTTTAGGATAACTTTTATCAATTTATATTTAATATTTTTAAATAAAAATTCTTACTAATTAAATTTTTTACAAACTTTGATTAATCCTAGTTTTTATGAATTGTTTTGGTTAATTTTAAAATAAAAATTAATATCTACCTTATTTATGTAAATTATTATTTTGATTAGTATGAGTAAAATGGAAATGCATAAGAGAAATAATTATAAAAATATGTTCAATTTTTTAGTTAAAATGGTAATAAATAGAAAAAACAAATATAGCATAGAATCAAACAAACAAATAACTAAATAAATATTAATTATCAATAATCATTTAATTGTTAATTATTATTTACTGAAAAATTCTAAGTGAATTCCTAATAAAGGAAAGTCATATTCGCTTTGTAATTAAATATTAAATATTTTGTTAGGGATATCTAAAGATTAAAATTAAAGTATCCTCGCTTCAGTATCTTTTTTTAAATATTTAACTTAGTGACTTTCTTCTAAATTATTATTCTCAGATAATTAAATGATAATTTAGTCATTATTAATCAATAAAACGCCATTAGATTTTTGATTATTATTTAATAAATTTGTATGATCATTTAAAATAAAAATTTTATAATATTAGTTTTTGTTCTTAGAGATTGAGGATTTTGTTACTATTGGGGATTTACTATATTTATTTTAAGGATTTAATTAGGGAGACTAAGCTTATTTATATTGAATCTTTGGCTAAAGAGCATTTAAATAGTTCTTGAATACTCTGAAAATATAATCTACAAACTCTTTTCTATGACTTATTATCAAATTCAATTAGAACTCATTTTTAATAACCATTGAACACTTTTGTTTTTCATCAACATCAATAATTATTTGATTAATATCTTTAATTAAAAACTTTTTAAAGTTATCATCATTAATTTTTTAAGGAAAAACATAGAAGAAATTTTGAGTCATGCAAATTATCTTCAATTCTTACTTGCCAGACTTTGATAATTTAGTGACTGATTCACTATAAAAGTAATTTTCTTTATTCTTTGAATTAATTTATTCGCTTTATATCAAATTGTTAATGAGTTCATGATTTCTTAATTCGCAATAATCTGTATCTGCCATACTTGTATCTGATAATTGTATATCTTCATCTGGACTTATTTCTAATTTATAAATAATAAAATAATTGAAATAAATTTAATTAAATCCTTTATAAATTTCAAAAGATACTTCATAATACTTTAATAATATTTTTCAAAAAACTCTTGTAACAAAATTAATTCTGAAGTGTTTGATTTAATGTTGTAAATATTATTTAAAATGAAAATATTGTCATTGTTTTAAAGGGGGGGGGTAGA